CCCCCAGCCCCTCCTCCCTCAGACCCAGGAGTCCAGACCCCCAGACCCTCCTCCCTCACACCTAGTACCCTGCCCCCCCAAATCTGTCAGGGATCCATGTGTTCGGTCCCTAATCTATGTGTACCCCATTTTCCTTCCTCTCTCCAGGGATCCTGTCTCCCAGCCTGATCTCCTTAGGGGCCCAGGGGTTCGGGCTTAGAGCTTCTCGACTGTAAGGACCAAAGGATTTTGATTCCAAGTCTCCTCCTAGAGCCAGACCCGTTCATGCGTTTCCTCAGCCACTATGACCTCGGGGGGCTACGGGGCCGGTCCCTTACCTCGTCAGGACTGAAGGGCTTCGTGGTGTCTGGACCCGGGAGTCCTGGCCCTCTGCCCCCGCCCCCGCAGACGCAGGAGTCCCCACCTCCAGCCCCTCCCGGCTAGGCCCCCTCCTCACCTGCCGGGCAGGCTCTGCCAGGCAGTGGCCAAGACGAGGGGCCCAGCTGGCTCTCTGCTCTCCTCCGGCTTCCCAACGGCCCCGTCCTTCCTGCTCCCGCCGGGCCACCCCGCCTCCGCATACCTGAGCACTCACCTGGCACACACCTGGGCGGGGCTGGCGGAGGGACCCGGGCTGGGGTGGGGGGGACAGGACCGGCCTCCGGGGAGCCAGGAACTGGGACCGGCTCTGTCATAACAACCCTACAACAGGGACAACAACAGTCATCTGACGTCACACCCGTTCACGCGTCCGAACCTCAGAACCGAGGGCTCTGCCTCCAACACCCTTTCCGATTCTCCCGCCGCCCGGGGGAGGGCAGAGCTCTGATTTCACCTGCTGGCGGTTCAGAGAGGGGCGGTCAGTGTGGAAGGGCTGGGATTCGAACCCGGGGCTGGGGTCTGTGCCTGCCCTGGGCCCACCTCCTGTTCAGGGTTCCTGCCTCCGCGGAGCCCTGGGCCCCCACCCCTCCCTTGGCCTCTTCCCCTAGAAACTCCCCCCAATAACCCCCTCTGGTGAGACGCAAACCCACTCGGCGCCCGGCCCGGCCCCAAATACTTCACTGACGTTAACGAGCTCCTGAGGCTTGAAATCTCCTTTAGAGAACTTCCCCTGTGCCATGGGCCTTGCTACCCAAGCCATACCTGTCGTTTCTCCCCCAAACCGAGTGAGGTGAGGGCCGGGGGTCTCCGCCTCACAGAGGAGGAAACTGAGGACACCGAGGGTGAAGGGACTCACCCCAGGTCACACTTGCAGGGAGAGGAGGAGCAGCAAACGCCAAAGCTCGGAGAGCAGGAGGAGGGGCGGGCAAGCCCCCTTTTAGCCTTGCCCATTATCAGTGTGACCTTCACCTGGTCCCTGCCAACGTCCTGCACCTGCACCTGCAGCGGCGTCCCGACAGGCCCCTGCTCCCTTCCTCCCCTCGTCTAGTCTCCCTGCAGGGAGCCCCAAGAAACCTAGGTTAGCTCACCGCACTCCCTGCTCCGCACCCTTCAGGGGCTCCCCGTTTCTGGGATAAGAGCTGAGGTCTGCAAAGTCTTAAGGAACATCCTTCAAACCTCCTCTCTCCCTCCATCACTCGGGTTCCGGGTTCCGGCACACTGGGCTCCCTGCTGCTCCTCGAGCCCTGAGAGCCAGTCCTGCCCCAGGGCCTTTGCGCTTGCTCTGCCCTCTGCCTGGAATGCCTCTTCCCTCAGATATCCTCCTGGCTTGTTCCCTCACCTCCTTCAGCTCTTTGCTTGAGTGTCACCTTCTCTGAGAAGCCTGGCCACCCTATTTAAAATTGTGGTCTCTCCCTGCTCACCTTGTAACACACTATATTACCCGTTCATTTTATGTCCCCCCTGTTAGAATGTAAGCATCGTGAGGAATCCTGGCTGGGGGCCAGGACTCCTGGGTCTGAGGGAGGAGGTTCTAGGGGACTATGACTTCTGGGTCTGAGGGAAGAGGGGGTGGGAGTCTGGACTCCTGGGTCTGAGGGAGGAGGGACTGGGGGTCTGGACTGCTGGGTCTGAGGGAAGAGGGGGCTGGGGCCAGGACTCCTTTCTTTATGTATTTTTTATTTTCCTATCTTTATGTATTTTTTATTTATTTTGAGAGAGAGAGAGAGAGAGAGAGAGAGAGAGAGCGAGCACAAGCCAGGGAGGGGCAGAGAGAGGGAGAAACAGAATCCCCTGCAGGCTCGTCAAGGTCAGCGCAGAGCCCTGCACGGGGATGGAACTCAGGAACTGTGAGATCCTGACCTGAGCCCAAGTTGGACATTTAACCGACCGAGCCCCCCAGTGACCGGAGGGCAGAGACTTCTGTACGTTCAGCCCCGCGCTCCGTCCGCCGCACATTAGAACAGGGTCTAGCACACATTCAGTGCTGGAGTGATACTGGCTTTCGGTGCATTCGTGTGGACGATGCTTCACTGTTTCGTCCGGCCCGTGTTGACCCCACAGTCCACGCTGAGCGAGGCTGGAAACCACAGGAAGCACCCCTTTGTCCTGGGTTGGCAGGGATGAAAGAATAGAGCGAAGGGGAGACAATCCTGTGGGGTGATGGCAAAGAGCCGGGGCGGGTGGGTGTTCGAGTTCTGACTTTGCCATGAAATAGAGTTGATAATACTTACTACTTTCTACGTGATGCGGGTGTGCTTAGGTCTTCTTCTGAGTACTGTGTGTGTGTGTGTGTGTGTGTGTGTGTCTGATCCCCACAACATCCTAGGAAACGGGTTCCATTATCTCCTGTCTACACCTGAGGAAGTGCGGACACACACCCTTAGGGAATTTGTCTACGGTCACACAGCAGGTACCTGGTGGGGACGGGCCCTACAATCTACACCCTGAATCCTCTGGTGCTAGCTTCCCTGTGCAGCCACGTCGTGACTCTGCCCCTTGCTAGCTGTGGGACGCTAAGCAAATCACTCAACCTCTCTGTGCCCCAGTCCGGCCAGCTGTAACATGGGGATCGCAACACTGGCGGCGTTAAGGGAGAGCCCTCTCAGCGCCCGGCCAAGAGAGACGCGAGGTTGGGTGTCGGTGGTGGCCTTTCTTCCCACGTGTGCTGGGATGGGAGGCGGCTAAGAGGGTCAGGGCAGGCTTCCTGGAGGAGGAGGGGCAGGCAGAGCTGAACCCGAAGGGCGAGTTTGGCAGCCCGAGGCGGCCGGGAGGGTGAGGGAAGAGTGTTTCAGGCCTGAGAGGCGGAGGGGAGGGGAGGGTGTGCTGTGTGCGGCTCCCAAGGGTGCTGCCGGGGGAGGCAGGAAGGTCCCGTGCTTCTGTCTCCAGCTTCTGTCACTCCGGGTCCCTGTCACATCCATGCCACAGATACTTTCTGAGCTTGGTCCTGCCTGGGTTGGGGTCCACGGACAGGAGCAGGCCCCTTCCCCTCTGCGAGGCAGGCGGGGCTGGGACTGGTGCCCACTAGCAGAGAACACAGAGGCTCAGAGTGGGGAGGCCACTAGCCCAAGGTCACAGTGGCCCTGGGCCATGTGACACAAACGCAGATCTGAGTCCAGGTCCTTTCTTCACGTGCAGGTGCAGGTGGAGAAGAGTGTCCTCATAGAGGCCTTGCCTGAGAGTCAGGGGCCAAGGCTGCAGGGTCTGAGGGAGGAGGGACTGGGGGTCTGGACTCCTGG